TGTCAGATTTTCTACTCTAGTTACATCCCCTTAGTCCACAAAGCGCGACGTAACTTTAGGGATCAACAAAGCGTTAACCGTACAAAATTGTCGAACTGAAGTGTAGCATCGAGCAGCGGCATATCGGGACACAATTACGACAGAAACGAGCAGCCGAATATTACATCCGGTCTGGCTGGACCGTCTACAACTGTCCCTGGGCTTCGAGCGTTTTATCGTTGGCTCGAACTGAAACGATCCACTCGCCGGCTCGCTCGCGTTTTCACGCTTCGCTGATTCGACTCGATTGCATTACGGGAATATACGACGACGAAGTTGTCGTTCGCCTCGATGACGGCTGACAGGAAACGCGGCCGCGGTGAGCGCAGTTGACGCTCGTGGCTCGTATTTCATAACGAGAATGAATTTCCGCCGGTAAGTGGCGATAATTGAAAACTGGCGGACGAGTAGTACACGCGACCAGGAACGCTTTACCAACCGTCTCTAACGATCTTATATATCCCAGCGAAGATTTTTCACCCCCCTCCTGTTAATTCGACATTTTGATGGAAGCTTTTCAATTGAACCATTCGTTGGAACACGGGAATGCTATCCGAATTTACCGATCAATTATTGTACGGGTTTGTGAAAAATCGAGTCATCGTTTCTTCTATTTCTAGCATTTCTGTTGACGTTTGCACTTTTAGTAAAAATTGCAATTTTAATCGTTTTCAGATGCAACAGAAATGATTGACAGCCTCGATTCAGGCACCACGTGAAACGACTAATTTTCAATAACTAATCGAATTACTAAGGAAATGGAAGAAGATTTTATATACCATTAAACGCTTATGGTTAGAATATCTTCCTCGGGAAATAAAATTAAGAAACATGAATTTTTCTCGCCGGTTAAGTGGTCGCGAAAGAAGTTCCTTCCAGCCAAATATTTTGTTTTGTTCATACAATGTAACAGGACTTAACAGTTTGCGGTGCCAAGCAACCACTCCTGGCGGTCTTACGAATTGTTGGCAAACCACAAAAGCTGGCTTTTAGCGAGCCTCATTGTTTTTGCGATTATCACAACTCCCATGTGATTTTAAGAGCATTACGCGTAATCGTCGAGTAGCATGCAGTTTCTTGCTTAAACATTGCGGTCGTTCTGTGACGATCATTGCGAGGATACTCGAGCTACGTTACCATTCGCCAATGTAAATTAATTACTTGACACTCGGAGTGTCGTCGGACACGTATGAATTTTCAAATACCGGTGCTTTCAAATTACTAATGATTTCTATTTCCCTCTTCGCGTAAAAGTTGAAATTTCAGCATTCATATCGCGAGCAAATTAATTAAAACAAAATTTTACCCGAGGATTCATCATGGTAATTTATACGTTAGAATAGAGAAAATTGACGGAATTCAATTTTCCAAGAGTTAGATAAAATTTTCACCGTCATTGTACGAGCGATAATATAAAATCGATAAGGAAAATTGCATCCACCCTAGAAACTTTATTTTCCACGGAAACAGCCCCGTAGATGGACCCTTGTTTTCCGCATTTTCCTTTTCGTTTCTTTCAGAAACATGTAATTACGTAGCCAATGTTCTTTCAGGTCCAATTTTCTAGCAGTAAAGGAACAGCGAACGGCTGCATGGCCAGCATTTATTACTCTTTTCGGGATACTTTTCTAGCTAGAAGAAAGATTTACCGTAACACGCTTCGCGTTTTCTCCCATTTCCCTTTCTCTCTATCCCACGGGGACGATAATGGACAAGGGAAACGAAAAAGGATCGACTGGACGTCCTCGTGTCGCTTTTCAACCTCGATTACAACCGGTTAATAACTTACGGATGACTCGATCCTCCATGAACTTTGTTTCCAAAGATACCACGTTTTCAATTAATCCTGCTCCCTACCTTGGACTTTACAAATTACATTCCCGTATGTAACATGTTTTCAAAGATCACATCGAAAATATGTAAAAAATGTAAATTGTTCGAGGAATAATAAATCATGTTCAAATCCAAGAAAAAGGTATTCAACTTTCGATGGAAGGGCTAAAGACAAGGCCATTAGCGTCACTTCCAAAGTCCCATAAATTTTTCAATTTAAATAGGCAGATCGGATCGTTTGTCGAAAAAACATTTTCCATTTCTTCCGTGTTTCTTTCCTCCCTCAGTTCAACCGGCACGTTTGAAACTTCCGGTCTTACTGTCTCTCACACGACGGGACAAAAGGAGAACAAGGAAGAAGCGAGCAGGGGCAAAGAAAGCAAGCGGATTGAATCTCATAAAATATTTATCCGTGGAAAGGTGATATAGTTTCCTGGCCGACTTTCTGTCGATCGAACTCTCGTATCAGTTTCCCGTCCCTCGTATCCTTATTTCCTTTTTCCCCCCTTGTTTCCACGTTCTTCCCATTGCCCGTTCTTTTTTCCAGGCACGTAGACTCCGCGGGGTCGGCTACGTGAACCCCGTGTCGTTTTACAGACACGCTACGGGGTCACCACGTGTTCCATCCGCGTGATTTCAAATGTTCACGTCCTGTCGCGTTACTACGCTCCTCTAAGCCCACGTAGTAATACGTCCCGAGAACGTACACATGCATTTATGATGGATACAACATCAAAAGTTTATGGTTCACGTAGAGTACACGTCGGGAAGCACGCGTAGACCGATCCTATGGACGTTTGCCTGCAACGTTTCGACCGTAAAAGAATTTTTCTACACGGAATAAATTGAATTTATCAATGGTTAAGTTAAACAAATGACTCTGCAACGAGAGCAATCTATTGATCGGATTAATTTTCAAATTATTCTCAATAAATAATGCAGTCAATTCAAATATCATAAAAGCATGTATGTATATGACGAATAAATGGTATGGTTCGAAACGTGATTATAATTAGTGAATTAATATAAATCGTTAAATAAATCCTATGAATTTATTTTATTTACTGTCTATCCTTTCAATATGGCGATACGGTGTATTTTCATTTCATTACCGTTGCTCGAAAATTCATAAAATTAATTATATTTGCGACAGTGAATTACGAGAATTATGTAGTCGTTTATAAAATTCCCGTCGGATCGTTTTTCCCTTGCGCTATGGATCAATTCGAGACGATTTCCTGGGCGTCACGCGGTATCAAAGGACAAGATTACCAGTGTTCCTTCCTCCGGTGTCGCAGAAGCACGGGGATATCGGTTATACCGGAAGCGAGGAGGCGTTTCCCTTATCCGCGATTGAAACGAGCGCCCTCTGGATATCGCATCCCTCGTCTGGAGGACGTTACTCGCAGACGAGCCTTTAATATTTCACGCGAAACGAGAGCGTCGTCGCTAGGGCGTCACTTATCTTCCGGTGAACCGGTCGTCGCCTCGCGTCTTTTCCGTAAAGCGTGGAAACCAGTTGACCACCGAGGATCGTTGTCGTTGTTTGTGCTGGGTACACGTGGCCGTAGGCGTTTAGAGGAAAAAAGAGAAAAAAAAAAATCTGGGAAAAATAGACGAGAAACGTTTCGAAAGAGTTTCAGCTCGCGAGAAACGCTTCTCGTCGCCTTAGGACATTCCTTATTCTTCCTCCTACTTTTTCGTCTTTGGAAATATTGCACAGCGAAAGAGTTTCGATGCGTAATCATCCTCAACGTAAAATAAAAAGTTATATGAAACGTGTGTCTGGGAAATTCGCTTAATCGGCAATATAGCGAGAGAGCTCTAATGAAAATGAATTTTGGGAGCTAAGGTCTTGGAGGAGGTAGAGTGTGTATATCGGAAAAGACATTTTCTAAACCGGTGAACTAGTTACGCTCCAAGATTTACGTCAGGTCACCGCTAATCACGGTTTACCACCTTCGCCAACGACTTTCGAATAAGTTTCGAGGGGGAATGTCTTTGTTAACGCGGCAAGTTGACCGCATCGACGCCCGCAGTACCGCACTCGATTGTATCGAACTTTCGAAGTTCGCGCCAACTATTCCGGTTAGATTTGTCCAAGTGTTCTTAATAATGCAGCCGAGAGAACGCCATTGTTCACCTCCGCTCAACTTATGCACAAAGCATTGAAATTGCCGTGCGATGTTCTAAAGAGGGTCTCTCTTATTTTTAAACATCCTTCTGTACGGGTTCGTTTAGTCGGTCTTAATTAACGTTAATCTTAATTTGCTACGAGAACAAAGACAATTCATGTTGTTCTTGAAAAATAGTTTTCCTATCATCCTTTAATTGTACATTCTCTCAAATAAATTCTTTATTAATGCCTTTTCAAACGAATTTCAAAGAACTATATTATAAAAGTCACGAAGGTATTTAAAAAATTTTCTTCATCGTAAGAATAGGAAAATAAGAAAATTTGTATAATCATAATTTTTTTTAATTAAATTCAACGTATTAATTCCTTTGCCTTTATATTTCGTTTCCTATATTTTCTCTACAAACCTGATTTCCTGTCTGAAAGACCATAGTCCAGTTGAAAAAACACGGCTGACCGTACGTTTTATTGTGTTAAAAATGAAAAGCTTGAATGAAAAATATCGGTGCATGAGTTATCTCGTTCCTTGGTGCGAAAACTATTCAAGTTTATTTTTTTTTCTTTAAAGTGTCACACTACTGCATCAAAAAGTATATTCTGTAATTTTATATCTATTCGTGTAACGACTATCAAACTGTCGCCTCATTTTTCACCGTGAAACAATGGGCAGAAAAATCACGGAGATAGAAAATATAACAGAATCCCGATTATTCGGAGTAAAATAGAAGAAAATGTCTGTCGAGTTTATTTGAAATATACGCGTTGCTTTTATCAGAGAAAATCTGAGAAGTTGTTCAAAGTTGTACATCTATACTCTGCTGTTCGAAAATTTTTAAAGTTTGAAAATTTTAGTAATCTTTATTTTAGAGAAAAACGGTTTTCAATTCTTCAAAAATAAGGAAACTTAATAAAAATTAATAAAATTTCTCATCGATTGAGAAAATTATTGAGATATATGTGAAAACTTAGAAAAAAATTGTAGAGTACTTACAGATAACGGTAAGATGAGCGTTGGCTCGGATGGGTTTAGTCCGCAAATATGGTCCAACTTGGCACTGATATTCTCCATCATCAGTCAAAGAAGCGTCTGTGATTCTCAGATTGTAGATACCAGCGTTTTGATCTCCTATTAATCGTAGCCTTGGATGCCCGACAATTTCTCCGCCTGTTTACAGAACGATCTACTTTAAGCACAAACTTTCCAACCCTCGTAGTCCCGTTTTGGACGAGTTATATTTCATTTCTGCTTCGAATTACTTTCTTCTCGAGACATTTAATTCTTCGTATCTTCGGCACGAAAAGGGTTAAATGAACTTTCAATGTTATTAATTTGCATTTCATGGAAAAGCAGATTACATATCGAGTTAAAATAAAAATGAGAACAACAGAGAAATTGAGGTTTTCAGGAATTTGGGTCGCGAGGAGAGGATGAAAAACGAGTCTAATGAAGGTTTCGATAGTCAAGGGTCTAATTATTCTTCTTTTGTGTCTGACGAGGCACCGAATGTGAATCGAGTTACGCGATGGCGGAGACTTGAAAGCGGTGACACTGACGAGGGTGTAGCTTTTGTGGGTCGCGTGAGACACTTTTGTTGAAAAATGACGCCGCTGTCACTCGGTACAGTCCTCTAAACGAGATTAAGCCATCCTACGGCAAAAATATCGTACGGGGATATTAAGATCGTTCTACTCCATTTACGTCACGGCTACTAATGGCTCTCGTTTTAATGAGACCAAGATGAAGTCGCTAAACGAACTTCTAAAGATTCCGCGAAAGCAAAACGAACGAGCAGCTCTCCGCGTTGCGTCCACCTTTTCTGTCTCGACTTATCGTACCGGGAAGAGCAAGAAACTTGATAATTGCTTGAAATCGATGCGAAACGTTAATTGGCTGGTACTATCGCGAAGGCTCGTCCAGACGAAGTTTATGAAATTCTTCTACCTCCGATGATACGATTAAATAATTAGCGTTCGAATGAGAAATTCAATAAGTACCAGAATTCGTATTTCTTTTTCTCCTACGAAATTATTTACCAACTAAAAATGATTTTCTCGTCTAACAAATTTTCAATCGTGCATTTGAAATTGCTATCGAAAAAGTGATTTTCTTTTACAGGATTTAAATGGGATATCTATACTTACTCGGTTGTATAACGTAAGCAAAACCATCTTTGACCCATTGCACTATGCCAACTCTGTTTTCAACCTCGCAGGGTATCGTCACTTCGTTACCTTCGAGGACAGAACTGTTCGTTGGTCTCACTCGAAAGTATTGCGCTCTTTCACCTGAAACAGAAATTTCGATAAGTTAGCATAGAGCGAGTGGATAATAGGTAATTAGTTTTCGGTCGTTTCCAAAATATTTTTGCCGCAACGTTGGTCGAATACGAGACGAACGAAATCGAAGAAATTCCGTGGCTAAAATAAAAGATGAAACGAACGAAATTTTTGTTGGATATCGTTAAAATTTCGATGAGAAAGCTGCAACCGATTTTGTCGTAGCGGAGCTCGTTTCATGGCTCGGTTAACAGGAAAAAGGCCGACAAACAGCGGCATAAAGCGTACATTTACTTTCGCGCGGTATGCAAATCGACCGGTCGAAGCACCACATGAAAAATGAGACGATTTACCGAACGTTACCGAACGTTACCGAACGCTTTTTCAAAAACACTGGCCCCATAAAACGACCAGCGATATCGTGTTTGAATGAACTTTCCGTTGGAATTTTTGAACGATGGACGTGTTAGCTCGAGGGTGTTACCATTTTTCATATTTCTCTCTCTCCCTTTTTGTTTGGAACATGCGAGTAAAAATTGCCAGGTGCTCCGATCACGCTCGCGCATATTTTTTTCGGTTCGGTTGTACGTGTATTAAATAAATTGCAACGGGAAAAAAGTGTTTCAGAAGAGAATACTTGGAGAAACTTCTTTAAACTGTTGGAAACTTCTGTTCGCGAAGAATTCATTTTAAGTTGAATTTTTAATGACTTGGACAGTTTTAACCCTAGAAATATCAAGAAATAGGTTCTTCCAGTTCACTGGTTCTTATTTTATTCTCCCCATTAATAAAATTTTTTAAAAATTGTTTATTTTCACTTATGACTTCAAGATTGGCACTTGATCTCGGAAAAATTGGGAGATTTTTGTCTGCCATTTGTCAAAGTTCTTGTACCGTCACTTTTAAACTACACCGGAACGATCCGTTACAAGAGAGCTAGTGGAACAAACGCAAACACAGGTACATCAAACAATCGGGGAGATTCTTTGTGGCGGCGTTGCTTTGCGTTTAGGGGCGCGTTAAGTTGATCCGTTTAAAGGGAGCGAATACAAGGGAGCGGAGTCGGTGTTTCGTAACGTTACAGGTTGCACTGGCTGTATATTTCATGAATGCCTCTCTATTTAGGCTGGATTGCGCAAATTCGAGCAGCAGGTGACCACGAACGCAAACGATGTACAAAGGCAAACGTGTAACCCATGCCGCAGGTACACAGAACCATAGGTCGTGTAGCCTCGTACACGGATGAGGAAAGTCAACCGAGCATCGATTCCATTCACAACCGACAAGCAGATTATGCCGATCTACCATCGAGATCCTGTCTTTCCTCCTGTCCTTGTCATCCGATCCTCGAATAAAGTGTCGCTGGACACGTTCCTCGTTCGAACGATCGGAAAACGAGGAACAAATAGAGATAGAAATCGATACCCCCTCCTTTTCTTATTTTTAACATTCCCAGTAAAAGTCTAAAACGGGTGTTATGTGGTTTTTCTAATTTTTTCGAGGCAAGATCGTATTACAGGCTACTGCTGGTAATTTGCCACCCTCGATAATTTTCTACCAAGAAATACCTAATTATCTAATTACCTAATTACACCTTTATTCGAATTCATAAATTATCATCTCTGAAATGTAACATTTTATTCAACCGCTGTTATTTATTCGTATTATTCCTACAATATCTACTTGAAAAAAGAGGAGTTTTTAGGCTTCTTGCATAGCGAATGGATGCACCGAAGCATTTGTTTGTTCCTGTGGTTGCAGTTTTTCTGTTTTTATGAAACATTTTAAAACGGTGCCATTCTATGTCTTTCAACGTTCGTTCCATCGATTTCCATTCCATGATTTCACGAATACCGTTTGTAACATTCCTCAGAAGTTTTTTATTCTTCTTTTTTTTTATTAACATTTCTCTGGATTCAACGTCGTCGCGATATTTACCCGTGCTTTCTCCGGCTTCCATTCTTTCCCACGGAAGTGGTATCGCTGCATCCCCGCCAATAATTTCCTTCCGGTAAAATAGAATCTTCAGCCGTGCTTGTTTCTATTTTAAATCTTCCGCGAACGTGCACCTTTACGAGCCTTATGCAATCCTATAAATTAACGAGTTCGCGCAGCGAAAATTGTAGAAAATTTTTTACAACTCTCTTTTATCTTGAAAAGCTACCCCGGGAGATTTACTGCGTGAAAATATTTCGTCCTGATCTTCTGGCTAATATTTGTACAATTTCAATGATCTAGGAAACTCTTATCAAGAATATTCCCTGCACTCTGCGAAGACAAATGCTGCTTTTGTTATTCCTGATTTATATAGAAAGATTCAGAAAAATGCTTTTCTTTTCTCAACTCACGTGTCTCCCCTACGTTCTTTACAAAAATATCAAATAAGAATGAATGTCAGAACGTCCTGTGTGCGGCCTCTTTACGTAAAACGTTTCTCCTTCATCTGTATGCAAATTTTGCATTAACAATGTAAGAGCAATTCGTGGGAAACTGAGGGAAAGGAGCAAGCCTAATGATGAAGCACGGAATTAAACAAGAAGAGGCTAAAATAAACGTTGGAAAATGTAAGAGAAGAATGATAAATTATGGTAGAACTTGTTAGAATTATTTTATGTCCTCTGAGATCTAACCCTTGTAGATCTAACATGGTTTCGATACAGAAATGTAAGAAAATGTCACTTATGATATATCAATTTAAAGCTTAAGATTGAATAAAAATGATTGTATAAATATTTCATTAATACGTAACATTCTAAAAATATAAATTAATAAAATTTCTTGAAAAGAGACATTCTTCGAAGCATTTCAGTTTCATTTTTATTCACAGTATTTACATAATTATTCCCACGATTATGCGTCCGCAATACGCCGATAATCGTACAATGACCATGGTATCTGCTAATTATTTCAATAACCAACGAAACGGTTATTCAAACACAACGGATGATCGGTCATCGATTTCGAAGAGATCCCCCTGAAACGAACCATGAAACATAATTCTACTCTCGCATTATGACCGACGTCACTGGCCGATGCATTGTTACAAAACAACGTCCAATTAACGCTGTTTGCTCTCTTCCCCTTTTCTCGTCCAATTTTATCCTCGTTTCACCATTTGAAATGAGAGGTACGAGGAAAAATTAATAATAAAAAACAAGCAAAAAAGAAAATGATACCTGGCGTATTCGTTTTTCGTTCACAGAAATTTTTTATTCAAGGAACTTCGAAACTTCGATCTTGATGTATCCCTCAAATGGTACACAGGAACACGAATTTTCGAGGGTTCTTCAGCATCCCTTTCACTCCTTTCTGTATTCGTACTTTTCGTGCAAATGGAAAAGCCAACTATTCGAACTCCATACACACCGTTGGAAAGGAGAATTTTTCTTTTCCCCTCTTTTTTTTTATTCGATATTTGGAAAGAGTTCGCTGAGATAATTTGATGACAAATTATTTTAAGAGCGTAATTCGCGCACTAGGAATTGATGGAAGACGAATATTATATGCTTGGTTTCAAGATAAACTTTGTGTACTGACTCGAGGAAGGCTCAAGAACGACTGAATAGACGGTCGCGCCTTTGTTCATAATCCAAGTGTTTATCCAAAGGGATTATCTTTTCCTCGAGCACGTTCACAACACTACCGGTTTCGCCGATAGACTAATGGCCCTTGATAGACTCGGGATATTATTATTTATTCACCGAAGAATTTGACCGTTGAAAATCGATTAAACTAGGAACGCTCGATAATTGCGCTATCGGTACTTAACATTAACCTTGTCATCAAAGTTTCCGAACATTATCGAAGCTAAACGCTAATTACACTATCGAAACCCAATGACAACTTAGCCATCAACGTTTAATTGAACTATCACAGCTGAACGACTTTATGATCGAAGTTAAACAACGCTCTTATAACCGAATTTCAATAACAATCATTATAATAAGCTATTATTTTCATTTATACGTTAATGAGCTTAATATGGCGTATTGTCTCAATAGAATTGTTAGGACGATTTAAAGCGAATTGAAATTAATGACTCGAATTATTCAACAGGAAAATAATCCATTGATAGACCGCCACAGAATACTTAAAATTAATACTAATTTAATAAAGCGAAGTGATTTCATAAAATTATTTTAAATTTTAATAAACATAATTATTGAAATGTTTTCAAGCCTGATTCTTTGACTGACAATTACGAGAAAATATTACTTCTAAGATAATCCTTAAAACGTGGAATTTAGTTGGCAAACGCGAAGAGAAAAGAGGCTTTCATATGAAAGCTGTCGATGAGCTCTGGCGATGATCCTTCGCTCGATAGTGTAATTGTTTGAGAGTTGTCGAAGTGTAATTATCACTCGACATTCACGGTGTAATTGTCGCGGAGGTTGGATGGAAGAGTTATTGTTCGAGGTCTCGATAGAGATTATCGTCGGGCTTCGATGGTTTGGAAGCTCGAGCTTCGATTAGATTCCCGGCTTGACGTTGTGATTTTTCATTTCTTCCATTTTCTTTTTTCAATAATTTCGAGCGTCGATGGAATTATCGAACACTCTCTCGTAAGTTGATTATCCGTTGGCTAACGTGCCGCGATCGTTATGGGAGTTTGATGGTGCGATTATCGGACAAGGGATTTAATAAAATCGTTTTAGTTAGCGGAGAACTAGTTTCGAGTAAAGTTTCGATGAAATGTGTTTAAAGAACAAATTAAAAAAAATTTTTAATTCAAATAATCTAATTAAACCGTAGAAATATTTTATCCGTTCGTTTGCGTTATTCGTGATGATTAACATCATTTATTGGATACCCTCTCACTCCCTTAGCCTCCATGGCGAACATCCCTTTGGCCAGGGCAAACGTGCAATTTCGAGCATTACCATGGCATCTAATACAATCGACGTCGGCTTTTGTGTTCGCATTTATATTGCTCCTTTTGTAGAGGAAGACGCTCTTGCAGAGCCGGCTTTACGATAGAAAGAAGCGAGAAAAGGAGAAGAAATCATCCC